GCCTCCTGGACTCTGTTACCAAGAGATTCTACTGTATTTTTCAGATATTTGAGGGCTGCTATCTCTTGCTTTAATGTTTCAAAATCATTGGTGGTTTTGTCTTTGAATTCCTGAGTGAACTTTTGGAATGGTCCTTGAATTTTTAGTTCTATCTTTGCCTCTATTCTATTAATCTTATTTGCAATCCAAATTCTGAATTCGATTTCTGACATCTCAGCCATCTGTTTACAAAGGGGATCTTCAGTTTCATCTGCCACATCCTTTCTTGGGGGTGGGGGGGGTTGACCTACCCTGGTTATTCATATTACCAGCCACATCCTTTCTTCGGGGGGTTGACCTACTCTGGTTATTCATATTACCAGAGCTTTTCTGCTGATTCCACCCCCTGATTATTTTACCCCATTTGGCTTTTCCCCTTGAGGTTTGTCAAGGACCTGTATGTTATTACGGCCTAAGAGACTGGGGACCTACTTGTTGTGGTGTGGCTAAGTGGCTCTGTCTTATTTTCAGCTGTTCTCTGTCCTACCCTAGTGGTTCAGTTACTCTTGGTTGAAGTCTCTGCTGTGGAGATATACCAGCAATTAAGTCACCCCACCCCCCACAAACAACAATTGGGCAAGGAAAATCAAAACTTCTCTCAACCATACACCCAGGGTGCCCCTCTGAATAGTCACTGGGTGGTCTGCCCGGTTTAAGGGGTCCAAATCAGTTGTACAAGTCAATACCAGTTTCAGGTGGAAGAGTTCAAATGTCTCCATCAACTAGATGAGCGGGATCTGCGTGAAGCTCAGATATAACTTGCTCTAGTGCTCCATGAGGGCAAAGGGACCCACCTAGCAAATGGATTAGTCTGGGAAGGTTACTACCCCCTTCCCCACCTTGCACCCAGTCACTCATAATCTCCCAGGTCTGTGACCCTATTCACTCCAGTAGGCAACTGTTCCCAGGATTTACGACTGCCAGAGTCACCCAGAAATCTGAGCCTGGCAGGGTGGCCTTGCATGTTTAAACTAGGCTGTGAAAGTTCTCTCAGTTCCAGCCCCCGCTTTCTATCCCGGCTAAATTCCTCTGCAAGTCAGAGGCTGCTAGAGCTGATAAGGAAATCAACCCTGGGCAGCAAACAATTAGAGTTTACATGCAGGTGTCAATCCCTGCCTCTGCCCGCCCACTGTCTTTGTCTCAGCTGTATTCCCCTGAGTGCAAGGTGCTCACTGGGAAATCTGAGTCCAGTCCGGCAGAGGAAGAATTTAGGCTGTGGAAGTTCTCTCTGTTCCAGCCCCACACCTTTTGTCCTGGCTAATTTCCTCTGCAAGTCAGAGGCTACTAAAGTCACTGGGAAATCTGAGTCCAGCAGGGAAAGAATTTAGGCTGTGGATGTTCTCTAGTTCCAGCCCACACCTTCCATCCTGGCTATATTCCTCTGCAAGTCAGAGGCTGCTAGAGCTGATAAGGAACTCAGCTCTGGGCAGCAAGCAATTAGAGTTTACACTCAGGTGTCAATCCTAGCCTCTGCCCACCCACTGCCTTTGTCTCAGCTATTTCCCCCTGAGGACTGATCCTAATGGTCTGGTTACTTACAAAAGGTACCAAGTCCATTCTGCCTGTAGCTACTGTCTGGAACCTCTGGTTGCCCAGAGACATGGGGCTTGCCTATCTGGCATGGCATCAGTTCACAGCTAGGGATGCCACTATTCCTGTATGGCTTCCTCCGAGTCAACTTTCTTCTCTTCACTCCTGTGCCACAGTCAGCAAAGAACAGCACCAGTCCTTTCCCCCTCCACTTCTCTCAAGGAGATCCCTAAGAATTTGGTCTCCATAGGTAACAAACCTCCAGACCTCAGGGTAAGGGGGGGTAATCCTCAGAGTTCAATGATGCAGGTGGGGAATATATACAGTGTAATAAAATTTTACAGTTTTATGCCTGTCAGAAGGGTGCCGTGGCATGCCAGCAAAAATAGGAGGTCCCGTTTTTAGTGGGTCTCTCCCGTGGGATATAGTGGGAGGATGTTTGAACCCTGCTCTCTTGTTTTATTTTTTTTTCCAGGTATTTTTATTTTCCTCTTTTACACAAACCAAAGTAGAAGAAATAATACAGGATTAAAACTGCCAAAGTAGAAGAATTAGTAGAACATGTATACACAAAAAATATGCATAGGAAGATGAGCTTATTTACAATGAGGAAACAAATGTAAAGTTATGGTAGTTTTCACATGAAACATTAAAAAAAAATCAAACATATGCTACAATGGGTACTACCACTTACAGCAGTATTGAAAGAGGAGATAATAACATATAAAGGGACAGGTATTCCACAAGGTACAGATTTTACAGCATCAGTGCAATACATTCACAAAACTATATCACAGCTAATCAGTTTAAGACTTGTTCCCAAAAATGTCACATTTTTTGGCCCTCAGAGGTTCATTCCTACAGATTTCAACTACTCTAAAATTCTAGCTACTGAGAAGAAAAGAGTGATTATAAGCTTCTCAAGGAGTTACAAAATCTAAGTAGACCAGAGGCCAACCATCATTACCTCATGTCTGCTCTTACCACAGCCCTTGCATTTTTCAGAGAAATATCTAGGACAAAAGTCAGACACTAGTGTAGTCACTATCTCCTACGCCAAACCTATGGGGACTGAAATAGCCAGGTGATTACAATAAAATAAGAATTTTGAGGATTACCTTTAAAGGCGTATTCTGGTCTCAAAAATTAATCAGATAAGATTATGGCCTTCTGAAATGAATCTTAACTAAACATAGAAGATTCCTGGCCTTCCCTGGAGGATCTTGGTCTTGGAGTAAAGGTCATAGAAATGAGTCTTAACCAACTGTGTAGTGTGCTAAATTTAAAGTATGCTATAAATGCTAAATAGAATCTTTTGAAAGTCTGCTATTAAAAAGCCTTCACAGATTTACTAACTTAAAGTCTTAGTGCAGGAGGACAAGAGCTCTAAGCTTGTCAGAGCTCTCATTTTGGAGAAAAGACCAATGTTTCCTACAAATTGCTACGTTTTGCACAAGGCAGAGACCTACACACACTAGGTCATGGAATTATTAATAGGGGATAAGAATCATGGGGATTCTTCTCTCACAGCAAAGAAATAGAAAGAGGAATGAATCATAATTGGCCTCTTCATCAGAAGTGGTAAACCTGGTCTCTATGGTCCTGAAGTCAGTTTTTCAAGCAGACTGTGAAAGCAGACAGTAGAACCAGCTTCCTGTGGCCACAGACCACTACTCTGTATCTAACTAAAGCAAAGATCAGCTCCAACGATTATCCAAGGTGACTTTAATCACACTAAAGTAAAGTCAACCACCATATTATCCTAAATGAAGTTGTCTAAAAAATTAAGAATCCAATTAACGCTGGGTGAGAAAAATCAAAATAACTCATACTTGCTAATGAGTTGTCCACGTAAGCCCAATGGATGAGAATGTACCCAACTACACTGGACAAGAAGACACTAGCACAAAGCCATACACAGTGAGTCTGAATTTCTATTATCTAGGGGTACAATGAGGGAGAGGCAAAGAGCTACTTCTGTAACCTTTTAGTTTCCAGACTGTATAATAGAAACTGTTCCCAAGGGCAATGCACATCCCATTATCACACGGAACAAAGCAGATGAATTATTCATTTTTCTTTTCTTTTTGTTTGAGAAGTTTGTTTATCTCCCTTTTGGCCATTCCAATGTACTTTGAGATGATTCCATGTTGGTTAAGTCCAGGAAGCAACAGTAAGAAAGTCACTATCAGGTAGGTGAGAAGCAGGTTATGTACTTGTTGTCCCACCCAAGCAACCGCAGCAAGAGAAATGATCATGGTCATGAAGTGCATTTTAGGCTTTTCTTCCTTTAGTGTGAAGAGGCATTTCCACCAGCCCACAGCTCTGCATCGAGATTTTACTAGATTGCTGCAAATTTCATGGACTCTTTGCTGCTGTTCAGTAGTCCATTTATTGGAGCCAAAAATTCTAGGCGCTAGAATGGGAACAAGGTAGTCAGCCAAGCACGGAAACATAACAAAACAGTAAACACCAGACAGAACAGATGGATCTAGATAGTAGATAATCAGAAACACCAAAGAAACCACACCCATGATGGCAGGTGGAAACCAGGCTCTTTCCCATCGGAGGACTTTATCTGTCATCAGCATCACTTCTCCCCATCCTTACAGCTGCTTTTCCAGACTTGCAGTCTCTGTAGCCAGCAAGTTGGTGCTATGATTATCTCCCTCCGCCCTCGTCCCTGAGATGCTGTCTCCTCTGCTCGCTTGTTTGTTTGAAGTAAACTGCAAGCCTTTCTTGTGGAGGAGGGGACTCCCATCCGCTTGGTGGTGGATTTTGTACATTTTGATTGTATTTCTGGGGTCACAGCTCACCTCAGGAAGGTTGAAGTGCACTCTTCAATCTTCTCTCTTGGCTCCGCTCCAAACATCAGCTCCCTTGCTAAACTTCTGTCCTTTAAGCCTCCTTCCTCTGTAAAAAGCTGCCTGCAGTCGGCTCCACCCCCATCTTTGGCACTATTGTAAAGGGAATAGAGTCCTTGATTGTTTTTCACCTTGACTATTGTTGGTATATATAAAGGCTACAGATTTGTGAGTATTGATTTTGTATCCTGAGATGCTGCTGTATTCCTTAATCACTTCTAGGCGTTTTGTAGCTGAGTCCCTAGTGTTTTCCAGATATACAATCATGAGATTGTATTTGAAGAGTAAAAGTTTGATCTCCTCTGATCTTATTTGGACAGCCTTGATTGCCTTATCTTGCCTGATTGTGATGGCTAAGACTTTCATTACAATGTTAAAAAGCAGTGGAGACCTTGGGCAACCTTGCCTGGTTCCTGATCTGAGTGGAAATGATTTCAATTTTATTCCATTCAATACAATATTGGCTGTGGGTTTGCTGTAGATGGCCTCTATCAGTTTAAGATATGTTCCTTCTATATCAATTTACTTAAGCATTCTGATCAAGAAAGGATGCTGGATATTACAAAAGTTTTTTCTGCATCTATTAAGAGAACCATGTGACTTTTGTATTTATTTTGTTTATGTGATGTATTATATTTATAGATTTACATATATTGAACCATCCTTGGGACCCTGGGATGAAATCCACCTGTTCATGATGTATAATTTGTTTGATGTGCTGCTGGATTCTGTTTGCTAGGATCTTATTGAATATTTTTGCACCAATATTCATTAGAGTTATTGATATAAGGTATTTAAAAATTGAGTAAATATACTGAAATTTGTTAAAATGTCACTTATTACTAGGTTGAACTTTGGAATCAAAAGCTCAATCTTTGAAGGGAAGAATATGTTTGATAAACTCATAATACCAGTTTCTAAGAATTAAAGTAAAAAATTTTTAATTAAAGTAGTGTGGTATTAATTTAAACAATGTAGTATTAACTAAAACGGTGTGGACAAATAGAACAAGAGTCAAAACATCAATCTGCTCTCTACTCAGTATGTTGATTTAACAACAAAGCTTTCATGACAATTCAGTGGAGCAAAAGAAATGTCAAATAATTGAATATCTGTAGAGATAAAAAAAAAGCTTGTTCTAACATTGTATTATACACACGCAAAAACAATCTAAGATGGATCATAGAGCTAAATATAAAAGGTAAATAATACTTCTAGAAGAAATCATAAGATAGTATCTTCGTGGCCTTGAGGTATACCAAGATATTCATCTCCATCTCTCTGGGATTGGTCAGTGGTGCCTATTTAGTTCATTTGATGAGGTTATGTTTTCTTGGATGTTCTTGATACTTATTGGTGTCTGGGTATTGAAGAGTTAGGTATTTATTCTCACCTTTTCAGTCTGGGCATATTTGTACCCATTCTTTTTGGTAGTCAGAAGAAATGGAGTGTTGTGATCTAAGTCTCTGGTCACTGCAGCCATATCAGCACTAAAGGGCGGTCCAGCACAGTAACGCCATGACTCCTGCAGCCTCCTGGTGGTACCACCTTGGTGGGCTTGAGTAAGACAGGAGAGAATTGCCCGGATTACTATCTCACTCTCTTCCTTCACTTTCCCCCAAATAGAAGGAGTCCAACTCTCCATGCTGGGCTGCCTGGAATTGGGGGAGCGATGATACAGGCCCTTCTCATGGCCACCACTGCTCTTGTCACACCAGACTATGTAGCCTGGTGACTGCTAGTATTTATTCAAGGCCCAAGGGCTCTTTTTGTTTGAGACAGAGTGTCAGTATGTCACCCTCGGTAGAGAGGTGTAGTGTCACAGCTCACAGCAACCTTAGACTCTTGGGCTTAAGCGATTCTCTTGCCTCAGCCTCCCAAGTAGCTGTGACTACAGACTTCCAGCACAATACCCAGATATTTTTTGTTGCAGTTGTGTAGTTGGCCTGGGCTGGGTTTGAACCCACCACCCTTTGTGTATGTGGTTGGCACTGTAACCACTGTGCTAAGGGCACTGAGCTGGCCCAAGGACTCTTTAGTCAGCAGGTGGTGAATCCTGCCAGGGCTGTGTTCTTGTCTTCAGGGAAGCACTTCTGCTGCTGTTAGGGTCTCATGGAGAAGCCGTGTCATGGAGCATAAGACCCACAATTCAAATTGTGTATGTAAATAAAGGGGACCACAGCTCTCTTATGGCATGTGGCAAGTTTCTTTATTTTCTCCCGGCTTAAATAGCCAGCTCTGCACATGCACACTGTACATCAATGACTTCATTAATATTCATTACAATCTATAATCCATCTCATGACTAAACATTTTGTGACTATCTCACGATCAGATCCTCCCAAGCAATCTACAGATTAACTGATACTACTTTAACATAATCCTCCTAACATAATTCTTATAACATAAACCTCTCTAACATAATCCTTTCAACATAAGTTAATGGAGAACATGTTGTTAGCTATTACCTCTTTGTTCTTATCTGATGAAGCCTGAAGCTCTGGGGGAGAAAGATAGATTGAATACCTGCCCTTCCTGGCCTCACCATCTGGAGACAGTTTCTTTAATTTTATGCAAGGCATAGTTAGGAAATTCCTAAGACATACAGAAACTTTTTTGCAAGCCTCCGTTCCCATGTGGGCCTTAAGTCAGGGGGATTTTATGCCTGCAACCAACCAGGCTGACCTTAGGGTAGGGGGTTTTTATACCTTCAACCAACCCAGTCATATGGGATTCTGCCTCAGTTTCTCACAGGTATGCCTACACAAAGCCTTTGCACTGCTCTCTCTCAAACAGCTTTTTTGGCCAGAGGCATATAACCTTTTCACCTATATACTTCCCTTCTGGTCCAGGGTTATATCGCATAATGTAATCTAGGAGCTAATGTCTGCAATTAGGGGCTTCAGGCATCTCTGTGGTACTTTATTTTATGGTGGCTGAACTGGTAAGATGTATGACAAACTTCCCTGTATTCTTCCTTTTGCTTTTTCCAAGTGGAAGGAGGTTCTCCCTGAGCTGCACTGCCTGGAGTTGGGGAAGGGGTGATGCAAGAACTCTTTTTGCCACTATAGCTGGTGTTACAGCTATTCACACCCCACAACGACTGGATGGAGGCTCAGAACAGCCCTAAGACTTAGCCAAGGACCACAGTCCTTGTGGCCTGACTGCATTTCACATTTATTTCTTGCTCAGGCCACTTTCATCAGCTGGTTGTAGAGCTACCTGGAACTCAGGTCCCTACTGCTAGGATGAAAGATTCCCTCTGGAGCTGGTCTGAATGCTCCCTTCATGGGTGCCACAGAATTCTACCCTGTGTTGTGTTTCCCTGTGACATGGTGGCCCTGAGTTCCAATGCAAAGTCCCACAGCCCTTTGCCCTCCTTTCCCCAAGCACATAGATTCTTTCCCCTCCCAGTGCTGGCCTGACACTGGGGGATGGTGGCAGTGTTGTGAGGTTTTGTGGACAGAGCAAACCATCTTTGCTACATTCCTCAGTGCCTCTTTCCATGTTATGACAGTAAAACTAGCTACTGTGATTGCTTGTCTGTTGCTTGGTTCTCATGAAGGTGTTTTTCTGTGTGCTTAGTCATTCAATTTGATGTTCCTACAGGGTAACAATCCCTGGAGGGTTCTATTTGGCCATTTTGCTCTACCTCTTGACTATGCAAAGGTTTTTAAACAGAACATAGCTGCACACACACACTCGTGCACACACAAGAACAAATGATCTATTGTAACTTATCAAAATTCAGAACTTTATTCAAAAAAATTCAGAGTAACATTTAAAGGATGAGCCACAAAATGAGAGGTGATCATCAGTATACATCTATAATACAAGGACCTCATCTTCTATTACAGTTGTATACTCAGATGAATATATGTATGTAACTATGCCTATTCTTGTCTATAATGCAAATAAATTGCAAATTCATTTTTCATTCTAAATTATTAGGATTTTTTGTTGTTGTTGTTTTTGGTTTGGGGTATTATGGGTCCAGTTGCTATGAACATTTTTTTAACATGTTTCTTGGTAGTCACTGCACTCAATTCTCTTGGGTATGCTGCTAGGACTAGAAATGCTCTGTTATAGGATACAGGGATACTGTCCAACAATTTTCCAAAATGGTTTTACCAACATAAATTCCCACCAGCAAAGTACTAGATTTCCAGTTATTCTGCATTCTTGCTAACACTTAGTATTGTCAGTGTTCATTTTGGCTATCTGAGCAGTATGTAGTGGTACTCTCTGTAGTTCTAATTTGCCCTTTCCTGTTGAGTTAATGGGGTTGAGCATCCTATCTTTGCATAATCTAGTTGATTATTTGGATCTTTTATGATGCATTTATTTAAATCTTTTGCCCATTTAAAATCAGTTGTTTATTTTATAAAATATCATTGAATTTGAATTTTCTCCAGCTTTCTGGGGTATACTTGACAAATAAAAATTGTATGTATTTATAACTTGATATTTTGATATATGTCCTCATGGTGAAATAATCACCACAATCAAGTTAGTTAACATGAACACCCATGCGTTCGCATTTTCATTTTGTACCTTTGTTTGTGTGTATAAAATATACAACAATATTGGATTTTTCATATAATTTTGAATTTCATGTTTTAGTTAATAGACTTGAAAATTTCAATATTCTTGTCATCTCATTGAATATAATATTCCAGGCCATGTACACCTGGTTCATGCCTGTAATTTCTTCGGAGGCGAGGCAGGAAGATTGCTTCAAACCATGAGTCAAAATCAGCCAAATAAACATAGCAAGACCCTGTCTCTACAAAAATCAGAGCCGATGCATGCTTGTAGTCCCAGATAG